AAAAAAAAAAAACAAGAAACAAAATAGTAGTTCAGATTACTAAATATAAGCCTGCAAAATTGGTACAAAAAAAAGCATTAACTGTTCCTTTCAATATCCAATAGAAATTAGTAGTTCAATTATCTTAGCTATCTTGCATATGTATATATATATTTTAAAAACATGGAATGCTTCACAAATCTGTGTATCATCCTTGGGTAGGGGCTATGCTAATCTTTTCTGTATCGTTCCAATTTTAGTATATGTGCTGCCGAAGCGAGCACATGTGCGAACAGTCTTAACTTCCTCCTGAGGACACAAAATTTCATATTTCTAAGTCCCTAATGGCTTCTAAATCAGGCACATGGGCTTCTTAGGTATAGTTCCCAAGTATAGCTCTTTGAGGATGAAATCTAGCAGGACACATGTTTGGAGGTGACTCCAGTCTGAATTAAAGGCTAGAAACAATTCTCATGGCTCTTGGCTCAGTCCTGTGGGCCACTGGTTTTTCTCTCTGAGTCACCTTATGTTAGAAGTTGATTTGTTTTTCTCAACTTTCTTCCTGCCTGTAGAAGTTTGGGAGTCTAGAACTTACTTCTCTGTCCTATTCAGTCCAAATTACCTGTGCTTCTTTGTTTCTTTTGAAACAAGATTTTGCTACATAGTTTAGGCTGGCCTTGAACTCACTATTTAGCCTGGGCTGGCCTGGAACTCGAGGTGATCCTCTTGCCTCAGCCGAGGAGTACTGGGGTTACAAGCATGTGCCACCACTGCAGGCAAACAAATGCTTTTGCTAATGAGACTCTATAAATCTAATTGAGGGCCAAGGATGTGGCTCAGTGGCTTAAGCGCTTGCCTGGCCAGCCTGAGGTCATGAGTTCCATTCCTGGTACAAAAAAAAACCACCAATAATCTAATTGAGATTTTGTCCATTATACAAATGTATTCAAACCAAAACCAAAATAAAGTAAACACCCCCCAACAAAACAATAACAACCAAAAGCCAAGATCTCTTTGAGATAAGCCTTTTCTACCTTGGTATCTTGCAGACATAGCTGAGGGATAATACCTTTAAGTTTCTTAAAATTTTATTAATCCACTGAATGATTTTCTGAGGAATCCTGTACATTTTCTGAGGCTGTACTAAAGGCATTTGCAATCACAGAATATGGCAAAGAGGTTTTGTGTGGAAGGGTGGAGTGGGAACCAATGTGGCTGAAGAGTCTGTGTTGGGGGTGGGGGGAAGACAAGCCGATAGAGAGGCCTTAGAGCAGACATCCCTGGCTGGAGATCCAGCTCTTCAAATCATGAAGTGAGCCAATGCCAGGCTATTTATAGTCTTTGTTTCTCTCACTGAGAATATTCAGACATCTCATGGTGAAAACAGTAATATGTTTGATCACAGGGCGCTGCCCCAGGCCCACCGAGAGCTTTACATAATACACTATATGCACCATGTCATCTTTCTAAATTTTGCAGAATATCTGGCCCCAGGGTTTCCAGAGATAGTCTGTGGAGCTATAAAAACACAAACCTCAGGGCTGGGGATTTAGCTCAGTGGTAGAGTACTTGCCTGGCAAGTGCGAGGCCATGGGCTTGATTTCTTGCATGGTAAAAACCAAATGACAACAAAATGCTAACCTTTTAGGGTCACCCTACGGGAGTGGTGGAGAACCTGTGGCACTCTCGCCGCAGCAGGCTGTTTGTATCATTGAAAGCTCTAAAACTGTTTGCCATCACTGTCCTAGGGTTACATAAGGAAATATGTATGTGTGCTGGGCTCACATGAGTAGCTGCTCAATAATTGCACCTGTTACAGTCTATTGACACCTGGATTTAGGAGATAGGTTTGTCCTGGCATTCAAAAGAGACACTTCCCAGGTAAGAAAAAGGGAAGGATTCTACAGGGAGGTGGTATGGCCAAGTGGTGCCAAAGGGAAAATAGGCTCAACCTTGAGCAGGGACCCTGGGGCTAGTGATACCCAAGGCCCAGAACTTACTTCTCAGTGAATGGAGCTTTCTTCTGGAAGCCAAGGAGGAGAGACCTGGCATGTTCTTGGTAGAGCTGATCTGCCTGCTGCAGCTCTGAACTGGCCCTTGGGTCTCTCACGGGGGCAGGTACCAGATCTGGGGATGCTTTGAAAGGGAAGCCAGTTAGTGTGGGTATGTTTTCATTTCTCCTGGGTCCAACTAGTAGAATTGCTGGGTTGTATGGCGACTGTGTGTTGAATGCTCTGAGGAAGTGCCAGAGTGTTTCCTGAAGTGGCCGCATCATTTTACATTTTCACAGCGGCATAAGAGGGTTTCAATCTCTCCACATCTTTGACAGTACTGTCATTGTCTGGCTTTTAAATTTATGGTCACAAGGCTGGGGATTTAGCTCAGTGGCACAGCGCCTGCCTGGCAAGAGAGAGGTTGTGAGTTCAATTCCCGGTATCAGAAAAAGAAAAATTAAATAAATAAATAAATTTATAGTCACTCTAGTGGGTATGAAGCACTATCTCATTGTGATTTAAATTTGTATTTCCCCAGTGGCTAAGATGTTGAGCCTCTTTCCACGTAGTTTTTGGTCATTTGTATATCTTTTTGGGAGAAATATATACTCAGACCTTTTGGTGCATTTTCTTTCTTTTTTGTACCAGGAATCAAACCCAGGACCTCACACTTGCCAGGCAGTATATGTATGTATATATGTATGTATGTATGTATGTATGTATGTATTTATTTTTTGAGACAAGGTCTCATAATTTAGTCTGGGCTGGCCTTGAACTCCCTACATAGCCCAGACTGGCCTCAGACTCTCAATGATCCTCCTGCCTCTGCCTCCTGAGTGCTGGGATTACAGATATGAGCCACCGCACCAGTATGCATTTTCTGATTAGATTGTCTTTTTCATTATTAAATTATGAGGGCTCTTTATATATTCTCGGTACCAGCCCTTTATAGATGTAAATGACCTGCAAACCTTTTTGCTATTATGTGGATTGCCTTTTTACTTGCTTGGTGTCCTTTGAAGCACAAAAATTTTTAATTTTGATGATGTCTTATTAGTTAATTAATTAATTGATTAATTAATCTTTTGTTGCCTGGGCTTCATTGTTATATGTAAGAAACCATTGCCTAATTCAGGGTCATGGAGATTTCTGCCTTTGTTTTCGTTCTCTTTTTTGTTCCTTTTTTTCTTTCTTTCTTTTTCGATACTAGGCATCAAACCCAGGGCCTTCACACTGAGGCACACCCTTAACCCTTTTTAAAAAAGTTTTTATTTTGAGACAGACTCCTGCTAAGTCGCTAAGTTGCCTAGGCTGGGCTCAAACTTGCAATCCTCCTGCTTCAGCCTCCCAAGTGTTGGGGTTACAGGTGTGTGCCACCACACCTGGCTCCACTTTAATTATTTTGCATATGGAAATCTAGTTGTCCGGTATCATTTGTTTAAGGCAATTCTTTCCTCAGGGTCCTATATGCCCTATATTACCACTCTTGTTAAACTCAATTGAATGTAAGTGTAAGGATTTATTTCAGAATCTCAATTCCATTCTATTGTTATTCTTTTTCCAACATTGTTTTGCCTATCTTGGGTCCCTTGAGTTTCCACATGAATTTGAGGATTAACTTGACAATTTTTGCAAAGGTGCCAGCTGGGATTTTGATGGAGGTTGCACTGACTCTGTAGATCAGTTTGGAGACTATTGCTACGTTAATGACATTGTCTTCCAATCCATGGGTGAACGTGGATGTCTTTCCATTAATTTAGGTTTTTAATTTCTTTCAACATCACTTTGCAGTTTTTAGAGTATAGAAACTAAAGTTTTTTGCTAAATTTATTCCAAAGCAGTTTATTCTCTTTGATGATATTGGAATTGGAATTGTTTTTTAAATTTCAGTTTTGGGTGGTTTATTGCAAGTTTATAGAAACATGGTTTATTTATTTTTATTAATTAAGTTTATTGGTACATTTTAGGTATATATAATGATCACACTCATCATTGAGAATTTGTACCTGTAAAGATATAACTTGCTTTTTTTCCCATTCCCCTACTCTCCCTTCAACCCTTCTTCCCCTCCTTACTTAGAAAAGCTTTGTTCCTATTTTTCCTAGAAACATACTTTTTTTTTTTAATTTTAAAGAATAAAAGAAGGATAACATAATAATAGGGGGGACTTAGCAAATTACAGACAAAATGGTAGGAAATTATCAATGGTTATCGTTTTAGAAACATACTTTTAAAACTTTTTTTTAGGCATTAGAGATTAAACCCAGGACTTCATATGTGCTAAGAAAGTGATTTGTCACTGAGCGAGCCTCCCACCGTCTGTTGTTTACATATTGATCATGCAGCCATACCGAATTCACTTATTCATCACAGTTTTGTTTTGCTTTATTTTTGGTGCTGGGAATCAAACCCAGGGCCTCACAGGTGCTAAGGAAGCGCACTACCTCTGAGCCACATACCCAGCCCTTTAATGGTTTTTTTTCTCTTTTTTTGTGAATTCCTTTGGAGTTTTTATGCACAAGATCATGTCATCTGCAAATAGAGGTCATTCTACTTCTTTCTCTCCAGTACCTATAACTTTTATTTCATTTTCTTGCCTAACACCCCTGCTGGAACTCCAGAACTGTGCTGAATGGGACTGGTGAGATGGGTATCCTGCCTTGTTCCCAGTCTCAGCACTGTTCCTGGAAGGGGTTGCTGAGTGAGGGTGGGCCAGAGCACCGGGACTGTCAGTAGTTGGGGTTACAAAGTCATTTCCTGGGTGGTTTCAAGTCTTTCCATAAACTATGTATACCTGGATGTGTGTAGCCAGGAGCCAGCGAGTAGGCAGGTATACTATGGATTCCGTCCATTGTTACTATGGGAAAGAGGTAATTTTGGCAGATTCATTGGGTTGCATTCTTTGAGTTGTGCTGGTTCCAAAAAGTGTTTGGGACCTGGAGTATCCCAGGGAGGGCATGTGGCCTTGCTGGGGGGGGGGGGAATACAGTCAAGAGCTTGTCACACCTTGAACCCACGGGCCTTCTTTGTAAAGCTCCAACCCTCCTGTGCTCAGGTGAGACTCGGGGTGCAGATGACGTCTCATGGGGAGACACTGGCTTGGCCTGGATTCTCCGTGGAGGGGATGCAGGTATAAGGTTTGGATCTGCTTGTAGGAAATCAAAACTCACAGTTGTGCAGTATTGCTGCCTATTCAACAGGCCGAACGGCCACCCAGAGGCCCTGGGGACTCGCTGGGCACGGCTGGGTGAAGCGGTGAGCAGTAATTTCCTCTCCATCCTTTCTCTGAGTTAGCAGAATCTCAGGCTCTGGTCCCTGCTTCAGTTGGTAGGTGAGGCCCAAAGAAAAGGACTCTCTCATGACTGCTCTGCTCAGGCGTCCCAGGATTGCTCAGGAGCCTGCCCTCTTCGCTCCATCCCTCCCAGGAGGTCTGGGTCAGCCCGCATGAGATCCACAGGGGCTGCAGACTCCGTATGTCCAGACCCTGGGCTCCCCAAAGGTTGACCGATTTTGGACCATGGCCTTGGAATCACTGGAAACTTCAAATACAGGTGGGTTCCAAACCTGCGATAGAGACATCTGTTGAGGGGGAGCCAGGAGTGGGGGCCATTGATCGAGACCTGTCTTTTTACAAAGGAAGAAGCAATGTCCGTTCTGAAGGAGCACTGGTCACAGCCAGTTAATCCGCCATCTCCCTCCTTGAGCGGTGCACACACGGCTGTGCACGCCTTCCGCCTTCTTCTGTCTGCTCCAAACCTTCCCTGACCAAGCATGTGCTCCTTGGGGTCTTCCTGAAGCCGGTGTCACACCACAAAGGGGACAGAACCCTGGTAACAGGTGATCCCCGGGTGGAGGGCTTTGCTGTTTTTCAGGAGCTAAAATCTGCCATTTCACTGAGCGGATCCCCCGGTTAACAACAGGAGGGGTGGAAGCCGACAGCTGAGACAGTGGCCTCTGGCTTTATGAAAGGTGACTTTGAAATGCCGCATTTGTTCTGACGACGCCTGGGCAGCTGAGCTGTACTGTGACAAATGACTCCAGCACGAGGCCACGCTGTCAGGAGCAGTGGGGAATAAAAGGCTCCTTGTCAGTGGCTCCTCTTTAAAATTTTCCTTTTTATTGTGAACTATTTCAAACACACACATGGAGAGAATGGGAGCATGGAACCCCTTGGTCCACCCCACCCAGATGTGATAATTAGCAGGATTTTGTCACTCTCCAACCACGTCCGTCCTCTCCCTCTCCCTCTCCTTATCCCCCCCTCCCTGCCAAAGTATTTAAAATAAATCTCAACTGTAATGTGACTTCACCTCTATATAATTTCTCTCTTGATAAAAAAAAAAGAGGACATTTTCTTACATAACCACAAAGCCACCATCACGTCTAATAAAATAAATATTAACCACTCGGGAGCATCTGATATCCAGGCCATAATCAGATTTCTCTGTTTGTCTCAAAGTGGCTTTTTATACTCTGATTGGTTTGCTGGAATCTGGATCCAGAGAAGGCCCAGGGGTGGCATTTGGCTGCCAGTTCTCTGAAGGCCTTTCCAGTCTTGGCCTGTTTCTCTTCCTTCTTTTTAAAATTTCATGCTGCTGATATGGAAGGAACCTGGTCCTTCCTCCTGAGGTTTGCCGCACGTTCCAGGCTCCCCCGCCTGTGTTTTCAGAACCCAGCAAACCTCTCACCCCTACACTTCTCACACTTGGGCGTTAGCGCTGCGCTATAGTTTGGATTTTAAATGTCTCTCAATGGCCTGTGTGTCAAAGGCTTGGTTTCCAGAGTGGCATAACTGAGGAAGTGGAACCTGTAAGGGGTAGAGCCTAGTGAGAGGCCTTTAGGCATTGGGGTGCCCTTGAAGGACCCCAGCTCTTTCCTCTTTCTTCTTCTTTTTTTTTTTTTTTGTCTTTTTGAGACAGGGTCTCACAATTCAGTTCAGGCTGGCCTTGAACTTACTTTGTAGCCCAGGCTGGTCTCGAACTTGCAGTGATCCTCCTGCCTCCTCCTGAGTGCTGCTTTCTTTTCTTCTTAGTCTTGAAGTGAGCAGCTCTGTTCTGCCTCGAGCTTCTGCCGTGATGCCTGGCTTTGTCCAAAGCAGGGAGGCCAATCAACTATTGATCAAAACTTTTAAAACTGAGCCAAGGCTGGGTGTAGTGGTGCATGCCTATAATCCCAGCACTCAGGAGGCTGAGGCAGGAGGATTGCTGTGAGTTCAAGGCCAGCCTAGAATACATAGTGAGTTCAAGGCCACTCTGACCTACATAGCGAGACTCTGGCTCAAAAACAAACAAACAAACAAACAAAAAACCCCACAAAAAACACAAAACAAAACAAAACAAAACAATGAGCCAAAATAAGCCTCTTCTCCTTCTAAACTGATTATCTCTGGTATTTGTTACCGTAATGGAAAGCTTACTAACACACGGTGGATGTCCAGTTAGAACTGTGTTTAACGTTTCACAGGCTCAGTCCCGGGTAGGACTGCCTGTGTCCTATCGCACCATAGCAAGAAACAGATATGGGCACTTTGTCTCTCTTTTAGCAATGCCAAAATGGATCTGTGGATTCAGATGGTGACAGCCTGACCCCTCTATGGTAAAATGCTTTGCTTGGTAGCTAGCTGCCGAAGACGGCTGTCTAAGGAGTCAGACCTCCCAGTATGTACCCTCTCTGCGAATCTTTCCCTTAAAGCTTGTGGCTGTCTGACTGGCTTTGGTCCACTGGAATGTGTGATCTCTGAGCCAGCTCACAAGAAGCCTGTGGTGGCCACGTGTAGTGGTGCATGTTTATGATCCCAGCACTTGGGAAGTGGAGGCAGCAGGATCACTGTGAGTTCAAGGTCAGCCTGGGTTAGATAGTGAGATTTTGTCTCCAAAAAAAAGAAAGAAAGAAAAGAAAAGCCTGTGGCTTTTTAGTGAGAACTTCACTCTGAGGAAACCCAGCTGCTATATAAGGGGTGTGGTTATTCTCAGATTGCCATGTTGTGAGGAGGCCCAAGCTGGAGATATATATATGATATATATTATATTACTATATTAGACATTATCTAATACTATATTATATACATCACATATATGTATGTATATATATAGAGAGAGAGGGAGAGAACCACCAGTCGTCATCATTTCTGCCCCTCAGACCTGAGCATGGTGAGGCCATCTTGGCCATGTGGATGACTCCAGCCTTTGCTGCCATCTGGTTCCACCTGTATGAGAGACCCCAGGTGAGATCTGAGAAGCTGAGCCCAGGCAACTCTGAACACGAGTGGCAAATGGCATTGTTGTTTAGTCACCATATTGCCGGGGGGGATTGCTATTAACTGGGACACTCATCAGCTTTTCCTTTCAATGTCCCAACCGTTGTCTGAGCCAGTGATTTTATTGGAGGCTATAAAATGACTTTCTTATTCTACCTTTCCTCTCACATTTTTTTGTAGGAATTCTTTCCCTCACCAACTAAGGCTCCTCAGTTCCCTTGAAATATAGTCTCTAGCTGAAAGGCAGGGAAGTTGTGGGGTTCTTTCTTTTTCGCTGGTGGTCCCTGCCCCTCTAACAGAGTGACTTAGCCTTTCTTGGATTCATGGCTCAGATCAAGGCAAGAGAGAGAAAGATGGAGACAGATGAGAAGACGCCTGAGGAAGGTGAACAGGGAGCTCAGTTTCCAAGGAAACCACAGGTAATCGTCAGTCTCTCTGAGGTTTATTCTTTCTTTTCCTGTTAAAAGCCAGATGCTATCACCTTCTCAGCCAGCTAGATGCTTGGGCAGGCACCAAAATGGGTCCCCATGGGGAGACAATGAGCTTGAAAAGTGACAGCAGGCCCTCCCTTGGGCCTGCTTCCTCTCATGTACCCTGTGAGTTCTCATGCCTTCCTCACAGACACAGACCCCTGCCCCAAGTCTCCTCAGGCCATGAAGAGCAGCTTGTTCTGGGGCGAGGGCTGTACCCAAAGTTGTCTTCCCAAGAACTCCAAGGGATAGGATACAGTATCTGCTATGGTCTGAAATCTCCCTCTAAAACTTGTGTTGACATTTAATTGCCTTTGTAACAGTATTAAGAGGTGCAGGTTTTTAAATGATGATTGGATCAGGAGGGCCCTTGTGAATGGATTGGTGCCATGCAGGAGTTGGGGAGTTGTGGGATTGGTCTTGATAAATTCAATGAGTTCTGCCCAATTTCCTCTCCTTCCATCTTTCCTACCTTCTTTACTTCCTTACTTCCTTCTTTCCATATCGACTCTCCTTTCTTGCCCTTTCTCCATGTTATGGTTCATGTTATGGCCTCCACCAGGTACAGCTCCTTGATCTTGGACCTCCAGGCCTCCAGAACTGTGAGCCAAAGAAACTTCTGTGGCTTATGGTTTACCCAGCCTGGTACTATGTTATAGCTTTAGAAAGCCAAGGAAGACACCTCTGTGCTCAGAACTCTGTCCTGGGCCTTCATGTGTGAGAACATCAAGACTGAAGATCCTGCCTGGTCCTGGGGTAGAAGGATGGCAGTCCAAGCTCCGATTCCCTAGAAACAAAACCATGACACTGTGTCCAGTGATCATAGGTGATTCAGAAGGTGCCTGGCTGCAGGGCAAGATCTGACTGGGGTTCTTAAGAGCTACCATGTGGCAGACACTTGCTGGGTGCCAGACATGAGTTGGGGTTGGTTGAGTGCTGCCAGCACAGAGCTCACAAATCTTTAGGAGAACCCCTTAAAGGGGCCACTTCAGCTCCATTTCACAGGTGTAGGAATGGAGGTCTGGAAAGATCACCCAATGTGCCTGATTTGTGGAATGGGGTTTAGAGCTGTCCTGGCCGGGAGACCTCAGGCAAGCAGTGTGACCTTATTTTAATGTTTAACCCCTTGCGTCTGGCTTTTTCATTCGACCCCTATGTGTATAAAGCATCAGCTGGAGTCTCACTCCAGGTAGTGGTTTGATTATGACTCAGAAAAATGACAGTGTGGGTGGTCAGGGTCAAGGAGCAGGTGCCCCTATGCCCTGTGGACTGGTGTGGCTTTGGGCCCTCTGTGGGTTGGAGCTGCTGCTTGGTCTTAGCCATTTCCCCAGGGAAGACAACCCTGCTTTGCTCTAGAATAGCATCTGACAGCACCCAGGTCAACAGATCTGTGGAGGAAATGCCTTTATACACAATGTGCCCTGTGGTGGATTGACAACTGGTGGGCAACTTGTAACCCCCAGCTGAACTTAATAAACGTGGTGCTGGGTGTGGGAGGCCCACCTGAGGATTGCTGCCAGCAGCATAAGAGGCAGGACAGGAGAAGGAGAAGGAAAGGCTGTTGGGAGCTGGTAGTAGCCGTTGGAAGCTGAGAGAAGCTGTAAGGAGCTGTTGGTTCTCTTGGAGGACTTTGTCATGCCGGCTTTCCTGATGAACTTGGTTGTTTTCATTCTCCAAGGAGCTCAGGATCTTGTTGTCGCTGAGAATGGCTTCGGTTCACTTTGGGGCAGCTCTGGTCCTCACTCTGAGCATTGCCTCCTGGCTCCAGAGAGGAAGATGGTGCACTGCTCAGTCTCCTGGAGAAGCTTGCTGTGTTGGCTTTCCTGATGGGAACTTAGCTGTCCTGATCATTGGAGGAGCTCAGGACCTCACTGTTGCTGAGGACAGCTGTGTAATTTTTCAGGGGAGCTCTGGTTCTTACTTTGAGTGTCCCTTCCTGGCTCCAGTTCAGATCCCTCAGCTTGCTAGGACAGATCCTTCATCCTGCTTGCACAGACTTTCTAGCTTCCACCACTGACCTTTGGAACTTCCCAGTGCAGATCTGTGAAACAGGCCTGCATGAGATGTTGTCATGGGCTCTAGGCCTCCAGCTAGACTCATGGGAGACATTGTTATGGGCTCTAGGTCTTCAGCTGAATGCATGCAGGACATTATCATGGGATCCAGACCCTCAGCTGGATTCTTTGGTCTTTAGTGTGTGGATAGATTTCCTGCACTCTTTTTGTATATGATTCTGTGGGTGGCTATTATAAATAATCTTATAAAATATATGTCCTGTATTGTATTGTTCCCCTTGCAATAAACCCCAAACCAACACATGCCCCTTATCAGAAAAGGTGTTGGACACACATGAGACTAAGTAACGAGGATTTTGCTAGGGTGGAGTGGGGACAGCATCACCCACTGTGATTGTGTGCTCTATGCGTTGGTTAGAAGGCAAGGGGTCCATGTGGTCCAAGCGCATTCAAGTCTGTGTGTGGCATGGTTCACATTAGGGCAGAGTCACCCCTACCCATGGTGGACAGAGG